AACCTGCAGAGATATGTGCTTTTCATTTGACAGCAACATTATGGAAAGCTGAACATGGAAAAAAAAAAGACAACTAAATTTTCTACAACATACAGTTCGAGGCTACACCACTACGACTACAAATTTTTTAAATCAAATACAGTAGACCCTCGAAAGTCGGCTGTCCCCAAGGTTGCATGAATCCGAATGTTCTCTCCACAACAAGAGTGCAATTTCACTTGCATCATCACCTCTGTTTTGCTTTGTCTTTTTGGTGGCAATTGTTCCAAAACACAAAAAGGGGGGTTTAAAATCATCAGTTTGTGAGTGGGGGTCTCAACATGCCCAAAAAGGACCACATTTCTGTAACCCAGTGCTTCCGGTGACAATTATTTGTATTTTAGGGGTCCCTAAAACTCACTCATATACATCAATATAAGGATTCTAAGAAAGTCTATTAGAAAAAAAAATGCCCCAACACGATCAAGACAAGATTGGGTGGACATGTCTATCATAACAGCACACATGGAAATCCCTCTAGGACCCATGCCTGGGATGGAACAGGAAGTTGGCCATTTTGGTTTGAAGCCGCCATTTTGGGTGAATTCCAGGGTTTGTACTTCTACAAGGGAATTTTCCCAAATGAGGCCATTTGAAAACAGGCATCCCAGAAAGATGGTTCAAGCTGAATTGAGAAGCTGTTTTGCCTATGCTGTCTAATGTTTGAGGATTATTTAGATGATTGTTGAAAAGTAGGGAAAAACGTGCCCCTGCCACCTATCTCATACATCAACACATAACATAAAAATTAAAAAATTATCATGGATCAGTGCCTGAAATTGAATAGGAAGTCATCGATATTGGTTGGAATTTGCCCAAATCAGAAGTACGAATTCAATACAGAGTGAAAAAAGGGATTACGGGAGCACATTCATTGTCGCTTGCTATTTAGACTTCCTGGTAGTGTTCAACTTTAGAGGCTCCATTCTACTGCTAGCTCTTAGTTTACAACTTTCACATTATAGTGTAGCGTTGGGATCTAAGACTGCTGTATTTACCGTCTGAATCTGGATCGTCGTCCTTCTCTATAAAAGTATACAAAAACAAAGATGAGTGGAATTTGTCCAAGTCTGAAGTCCAAAATAAAATTCTGTTGAGTTTAGCTCGATATAGACTACGACTACTACTACGCCTCCTAGCCACTACAATGGCCAACAAAAAGTCTACATGCACATCAATAATTCAATACTAGAATAATGATACACTGATTATGTCAAATACTGAAACTCAATCATTCTAATTAATTTACCTAGTCTGATCTGATCGTAAGGGTGCTCCTCCGGCAAAGCTGGCGATTGACAAAAGTGTTAACAAGACCACACTGATCAGTGCGTGCGTGCGTGTGTGTGTGTGTGTGTGTGTGTGTGTGTGTGTGTGTGTGTGTGTGTGTGCGTGTGTGTGTGCGTGTGTGTGTGCGTGTGTGTAGCGGGCTGGGAGATTGTTAACAAACTAATTAGCTCTCAATGAATTACTGTCATGTTTGCAATGCGAAGCAGTATGACAGCTTCAGGGTACAAGCAGCCCAATGTTTTGATATTTCATAGACACTAGACGGACATTTCATTAGGTACACCTACACGCTCCATTGATCACCAATTTAAGAGCGGTATCGCAAATCCGGGCTTTAATAAGGCACGCTCATGACCTCCCATGAAACACGACGCTGTCTCCTTTCTTTGCTTTTTAACCCGCTTGACTTCCTTTCGTCCTCCGTCGCAAATGAGCAGCACTATTACTATTAACGAGTCCATCCATTTATGAATGCAGATGAGACGAAATGCATTATGTATCAAAGGCAGGGTCGGTCGCCTTTAAAATAGCTTCTCTCATGCCTCAAGGGGGACTGGTCATTCTTTGGTTGACACACATGAAATGCCATAAAAAAGTGACAAGGGGAATTTTTGTTTCTGCGCTACATTTGGTTTTGCCAGTGGCAGTCCACTAAATTGTAATGGAGGCATCCTGAATTCTTTTTTTTCTTTTTTTTTTTTTTTTTAAATTAGTTTAGTGTGGCAGGTGTCCAACTCAAGGCCCTGGGGCCAGATCTGGCACGCCACATCATTTTATGTGGCCCGCGAAAGCAAATGTTATGTGCCAACTTGCATGATCCTTGCTAAAATCTGCAACCAAGATGTCAAATTGTTATGTGTAATAAATTATTGATGACACAATGCCAAACAAAAACATGTAGAACTTCGTCAAACATCTGAGTATGTGCTGCACATCACAATATAGTGCTTCGAACACTGTAGCTCTTTTTATCTTTTGTCTTTAACATGATTATGATTTCTGTACGGCCAAGCTGCCAAATATTAACTGAGAATTCAACGTGGGGGCAGGGTTATGTAAATTAGCGAGACAGTGACGTTACAATCCGGTAAAAAAATCAGAAAGGCTTACTCACACGCACGCTATTATAACGAGACAGCTGGCAAAAAATGTACCTGGTTGTTTAATATCAAAATTTGCTCTCCAGAGAACCAAACAATTAAAAAGTCAATTTACCAAAGTACAGTGGCTTGAAGTGGTGAATTTGGCATTGCAATTGAACAGCCACTATTCACCCCATCATAAGCTAATGTAGCAGCTGTTATTTAGAGGCCAAATACTGTTAGTTTTGCCATAAATTTAACATCCATTTAAATGTTTACGTCCCCAACATGACGTGGGCAAGGCAAATGGCACACAGAGTGATGGCCAATGTTGCATAACAGAGCCAGATGGTTTTGCCACGATGGCCCACCGCGGTCCTGGCAGCCATGCGCCAGTGGAAGCATTTGTGTACACGGTTGCTGCGTGGACCGGGATAGAAGACTAAAGTTCGCATTAGCGGCAGGATGAAGGATTGGTCATTTCCTAACACAGCGGAAATGAATGACCTAACTTGCCAATTTTTTTTTTGGGAGATACGCACCATTTGGCCAATTTTTTGCTTTGACTTGCGAGAAAAAAATTTGAGATATGAGCATTGTCTGGTCGTCAATTCAACTCATTCATAACGAGCAGCAATTTGGCAAACACTAAAAACATTTTTTTTTTTTGCCCCTTTCAGTGGAAGTTGGTCAAAATCAACATAAAACAAGAACCACAAAAGTCTGGCTTCCGCTACCTGAATGCTAATATGTAAGAAAAAACAACATCGATGAGTGAATTTATAGCATTGATAGTTGTTGTGTTAAAATCCTTTAAGTTGAACACAAATGGGGCAACAACACATGTAGGAAGACAATTTAAGCAATATGCACAGGCATATATTCTTTAACTTCCGCTAAGAACGATTACTAACACAGTTTACTGTCACTTAGAGAAGATGTGAAAGTCTTCTTCATTTGTGTCTTCATGACTGTGTTATACTGCCTCCTGGTGGCCAAGGCATGCACACCAGAGGGAATTCTTTCCATTATTCTAAATTATTTTATAGTTACACATATGTTTATTAATGAATAATATTTCAGCATAGTCACGGAAAAACTTGAACTTGTATCTCAAGCCACCACTGTAAATGTATGTTTGTTAGAAGTTTTATTCCTCACATTTAAACTTTTATTGGATGATTGTTTCTTGGAAGGCTATAACTGTCTCCTCAGATGATAACTTTTTACTCCAAAACCAATGACTTTTCAGACATAATACAAGCATACAATACATTTTGAGCTCAGATTCAAGCCAAGTACCTTGTAATTGTGAGGCAGACGTGCTACCCGCGTACGACCGTGCTGTCCTTGAGACCTCCGCCAAAAACCCCAAAACGTTTCAGTAGATGTCACGGTTTTACACTAATGTGCTATAATTGTGCTTTGTTGGGCGGAACAAATCTGAATTGTTTGCCATTTGAATCAGTAATAGGAATGAAAATGGCAACATTGTCACCCTAAAGTAGACAAAAGACCCCATTTGGAACACGTGAGCACATGTGGAAGGATGTCCACTGGCTACGGTCTGTGGAATCGTATCATCATGCAACAGTCAAAAAGGAAGCCTTTGTAACTGTATGGTGTCTACAGTGTTACATACGATATCAAATACTTGTATAATATGCTTCCTGGACAATGTAAAGAGAGTGTGAGTGATGTCAAACCTGAGTGCAACTACTACTCACTCTCTTTGAAGTGTTTTCATTAAGCTAATGTGGGTATGAACCACAGTGATGGATGCAAAGTGGGGTTTGGTGGTGTGTGTGGGCTCGAGAGTGGGGCTAGGGTTCATCTGTGGACAGGCGGGAGGAGGGGGCGGGGGTCGCATGCTCAAATGGGAGAATGCCACCAGAGAAGAGGAAGTTGACACAGTTGGCCTGTTTGAATCTGCATGCACTCTCTTCGGACGAAGGATGGGCATTGGAAAAGACTTCCAATTGGAAAATACGCATTTTAGAAAGCAGTTGAAGGAATGATCATTGTTATTACAGTAACAGATTTTGAAATCAAACAAATGGAAGAATGCTGCGATTGAAGCTCAGAGCGAAATGACCTCACCCAAAAGTAATGCATCAAACATGTGCAGTTTACCGTTGATCACCTTGTAAAAGTATCCGAGTGACAAGTCACTGTCCGCCAACAGCTAATTCTGGGTATCCAGACTACTTTTACTTCCCAACAGTCTGTCATGTAAGGAAACAAAATATTGCAGTTTTTATAACCAAATCTAAAACTTGGCCCGCCCAACGCCACTCAATTACTGTTTCGATTTCAACAGCGGCCCATTGAGGCACTCTGTCAATTTCTGCCAAGTAGTGAAATCCTGCTGTGGAAAAAAAACCATGACGAAAAGACCGGATGATCCATCTAATTCCACGTAATCGGTGATGATTCTCACTTGCTTGCAGAAGTAAGATGCCCATCCCGTCAGCTTCGCTAAAACCACTCGCAGTGATTCAAACAGGGTGTACTCACTATACGGTGCACACGGAGGGGTGACATGTGGAGGACAGTGGCAAGGGTTGAAAAGAACAGTATGCTGTTTACCTTCTACGTCATTACAGTCAAAGTCTTGAGTGAGGCATGGATGGAGACAAAAAGCACACACACACACACACACACACACACACACACACACACACACACACACACACACACAGATACAGACAGATGAAAAGTCGAGCCACTGCAGCTCTGTGTAAAGCAGAAACAAAATAAATGCAACATTTATGACAAAAATGAAGCACAACATGAGGCAGAAAAATGTATATAAAGCATTACACTGTTTGGGAAGAATCACAATTTTCTTCACTTTTTGCAGTCATGGCACTGATGATTTCGAAATGGCAAATAGGACAGTACCATTTGAACTCCGAGGTGGAAATGGCAAATAGGACAGTACCATTTGAACTCCGAGGTGGAATTTCATATTTTTGAATGATAGGTTGATGCCTTTTGCATGCCTTTTGCATGCCCCCCCACCCCTATATATATATATATATATATATATATATGTATATATATATATATACATATATATATATATCACCCACCCATTTTCGAATCCGCTTCTTCTCACAAGGGTCGCGGGCGTGCTGGAGCCTATCCCAGCTGTCTTCGAGCAATAGGCATGGACACCCTGAACTGGTTGCCAGCCAATCGCAGAGCACACGGAGACAAAGAACGATTCGCGCTCTCAATCACACCTGGGGAAAATTTTGAGTATCCCATTAACATGCCATTCACGTTTTTGGAATGTATACCCAGAGAAAACCCACCCACGCAGGCATGGGGAGAAGATGCAAATCAAACTCTGCATCTGTGCACTGTGTTCATTGAAATTCAAACATCGCTACAAATTTGTGCCCCTTTCCTCAGACTAAAAATCGTGCAAATACAGCACTCCACGAGTTTATATAAGAAATGGTATAACCTAATCCATCTGTGAAAGCAGTTTCGCTGTCCAGAATCAAAAATATGCGACTGGTGCATCTAAACATGCCCCCACACCCCGCCAAAAAAAAAAAACAAAAAACAATACCATGTGTCACAGAAAAAAAATTGAAAACATTTCCCCTGCCCTTGAATAAAAAATATGGTACGGTCCTGCTGTCTTACATCTATTGGATGCTGACAGTAAAAAATACAACACTCCACGATTTGTCTTCAATTTTGTTCAAGAAACATTTGATTCCACCCCGGAATTGAAAAAAGATACAGTCTTCCTGGCTCACATTTGTTCCATGGAAACATACAGATTAACCAACAAAACCCGAAAATGACACTCCAGGTGATGTCGTTTGAGGAACTTATTCTGACATTCTCGACGAAAGAACAGGATATCCCAGCCCAGAATGAAAAATAGTACAGTCCTGTTGTCATGCAGCAGCTGTATGCCAAGATCGGAATGGGCAAATACAAATACAACATTCCGCATCTTATTTTTGACTTTTTCCCTTCCCACCCCAGAAGGCAAATGGTACAGTTCTGTTGCCTTACATCTGTTGCATGATAACATACAAATTGCTTTTAGGAACAGCTCTGCTTTAGTGAAGGTATTCCCTCTACACGTGCACACATACAACCACAAAACAAACACTATAGCAGTACAGGTGTGCCTCACAAAACTGTCCAATTTTAGTTAATCCGTCCAAAAATGATTTATTTCATACAAATGATTTTGATTGAATGATTGAACTTTATTTTGAAAATGGAGTACAAAAATATACATTTCCCATCCAGAAACACTATGACTTGCTGGAAAAAGTTACAATGTGTTCATCTATCCATGCCAGCGACGTACACTGACAGGCAGAGCAAATAAATGCTCGGCCATTACTTGGCAGTTAACCTGTGTCTCAACTTTTTATAATATTATTGTTTGTTGTTGCACTGTCGTATTTTTCCCAATGTAAAATAAGTGACTTTTGTCTCATGACAACAAATGTTGGAAAACAGCAGGTGAGGCCATCTTACCTTTGACCCTCTCTCCTCTATTAAGTTGAATCTCCCCCTCTCCCTGCGGCGTGTACGGCTTGACGACGATGAAGGTGCGACCCGGGACAGCGCTGTAGAGTTTCCGCTTGGGCCCGCGGGCGCCCATCAGCGTCGGCGGCGTGTGATGAGGCGGGCTCGGGTCCCGTTGCACCGAGCCGGGGCTGTAAACAAACACATAGGTCACCGTGGTGATCCCGGGCAGCTGGTAGCCAAAGCCCGTGGTCACGGACATGATGGTCCGCGGGGCCGCCGGAGGTTGACGGCCCCTGGTCTTCGCGGCGGACAGGGAGGGATTCATAAAAGGTTTGCGTTGAAATGATAGCCGTCAGTGTTCCACGGGGGAAGATCCACTGGCAAAATCAAGATAGTGAGGTGCCTTCCCGTGCGATAGATCCCGTTGGAATCCCCTCTTAGTCATCCTGAGTTGGCAGAAGCCCCCTACGGAGAGGAGGGATGCGTATCCCGCCCGTCTCCCCGCTGGGATGGGACTACGGATCCCAACACCTTTGGATCCCTCCTGTCTCGGGGGGAGCGTGGATTTCTGCTCCCCTTCTCCTCGTGAGCCCCTCCGCTTTCCTTCCTTCCTTCCTTCTTTCTTTCCCCCTCCTCCTCTCCTTCCACCACTCCTCTCTCTCACACACATGCATGCGCTCACACACACTCTGCCAATGCTGCTGCTACTACTGCCGCCGCTGCTGTTGTTGTGTTGCTCCCCTTCCCTTTGACAGCCTGCACAAGCCCCTCTATGAGCACGATAGACTTACGCACGCAGACCACTCCAACATATTGCACTGGTGGTCCCTGTGCACACCCTGGATCTCAAGTGTGTGTGTGTGTGTGTGTGTGTGTGTGTGTGTGTGTGTGTGTGTGTGTGTGTGTGTGCGTGCGCGAGAGCGGGAAGGAAAGGCGGCGGGGGTGGTTTAGGTGAAAAGCTTGAGCCCATTTGGTTGAACTGTTGCTCCGCCCCTCCATCTTCGCCGCCAGCATCTCCTCACACGCACGGTGAAAGCTGGCGAATTACAGCGGTGGCAGAGCTCCACCTATAGTTTTCATTCATCCCTCCTCCGTCGCCACAATCCCAACCACGTGCCCTCGGCATACTCGTCATCCCGCTCTTCCTCCTCCTCTCGCTTCTCCTTTCGGGCATTTAATACCATACTAGAGACACATGTAAAGCTCTGTAAGCTTTTGAAATTAAAATGCAATTGAAAATAACAACAAGCAGGTTTCTTCCAGGCTCAAATTGAGGCACAGGTGGCACAACTGTGATATGCCACCACCCGCAGCTCTGTTTGAGGATTTACAAGTGTTTTAGAAGTGTTCTGTTCTAAAAATACTCACTTATGATGAGACTTACCCAAAAAGTGAAAATTATAAGATTTAATGCTCATTTAACTTCTTTCTACACTTGAGAGACAATGTTAAAATCTTTCCCAAAAATGCACCGAGAGAATTAATAAATGTTTTATGACGGCCTAAGTTTGACAAGATTATTTCTTTACTTCAAGGCATAGTTTTGGTGGTTAACTCCAGGTTGTAGTTGCAAAACTGTTCAAAAAAATTTGTTGAATGCGTATGTTTTCAAGAGCAGAAACTTTAAGATCGTATTTGGAGTTATTAAGTATTTGTCATTTGTTTGCGATAACTTTTCATGATTATCCCTCACTTGTGAGGAAACAACATTTTGCGCCATTATGGAGGCTCCTCTCGATAATCTATCCCAGAGCATTCCATTCAATAGAAAAATAACATAGTATAAAATAATGACCAAGAGGAATACATGTAGTAATTCCTTGCACATTTCCCACAAACTGTGCAATAAATGTTATTGTTTGAGTGCGGAATAATGAAGCCACAAAGTTTGCTGAAATTCTATTTTGTGGCCCATTAAACACAGTCAATGACATTAGTAATATCATAAGTAAATACGATATTAGCCGTGTGATTTCAAGGAAATGGAGGAGAATAAAAACAAGCTGTTTCTGATTGCGGTTGTGCTGCACAGCATTGTGCTACTGCAAGGTGCTATGAGAATTTAGTCAAAAAGGGGTCAAAAATATGACGCTCGCATGTGGAGGTCTTTTGATCACAATGTTGTGAAGCTTCATTTGTCTCTAATGAGTATTCAATTAGTTTCAAACATAGGTGTCAAACTCAAAGCCTGCGAGCCAGATCCGGCCCGCCACATCATTTTATGCGGCATGCGGCCTCAATTATGGCATGTAGGCTTTACTCTGTAAATAAAGCGCAGAGTGTTGCATTGTTGTAATTTTTATTTATTTATTTTATTTACTATGAACAATGGTGAAATTATTTTACTTCTATGAGAATTGAGAATTTTACCTTACACATGGTCTGTACAGTTAATAAAGGTGTTTAAAGGCCATTATTACCTATCGGAAACTTGTTTTAAACTCCAGGTTATTTTTGTTCAAAAGTCTACTGAAAATTCTCATGGGAACTGGCCCGTTAGTATTTGTAAGCAAGACTGATATTGATTCAGATCAATACAGTAGACAGTATTGCGCTGATGTATTTCGAGCACGCCCGTCTCCCTTTTGTCAGTGTGTTGGCCCCATCAATTTTATCACTCACGTTATAGCTTTCATTTAACTGATTGCTCCCTTCCGTCTAGACTCTACTCTTCTTATCAATGGCTTCCGCCGCCTCACCCACACCAACCCTTCTCTCTCCATCGCCATCTACAAGCAACAACAGCTTGCTGACGGCTTTCCAATTACAGTGGGGGCTGATGGGAGCGGGGGACCGATGGGGACGACTGCCGCATGTTGATGTTTAGACCCTGGCGTCGGAACAAGACCAGGCGGAGAGGTGAGGCAAGAGGCAGGGGACACGACATTGCACAAAGTGACAAGGCAGCCTTGAGAAGTGAATCGGTTGACGAGTGCTTCTTTTCATCCCTCTGCCATTCGTGTGATGTCCGACTTGTGCATTATGAAAGGCAACAGGGTAACAGGTATCGTGTTTGAACATATTAACATGACAGCGTTTGCAGTGATGCAATACTTCCTGTACTTAACGACATGGAGGGTGTGAAGCAGGGAAAATCAAAAGCAATGATGCAACCTTGAGAGAAGCACAATTCAATTTGATTGGTATTTCCCATCCATGCACAACTTAAATACATTAATCAAATCAGTACTATAACTTTCACCAGAGTTGTTTTTCACACAATGTCTACAGTTATCAAAATGTACTTAAAAATGTGCCATTTCAGTTCATTTAGTACTATTCATTCATACTGTTTTTATTTGAATTTTGCCTGAATTCTTTTTCAATTTTTACACAGGAATTTATTACGAAAAAAACCAAACAGATGCTTGCACTTTACACTGAGAATGTAATTAAGATGACTATAATTGTACTAAAAAATGTGCCTCTACAGGAAATTAAGGTTAAATGGAGGTGATGGAGTATTGCAAAGGTACTAACAGTGGTTCGATTAAAAAAACAAAAAAACAAAACAACAACAACAACAACAGATTCATGAGAAGCATATTCCATCTTTACTCTGTTGACTGCTGCTTTTCTTCCCTTTCACATACAGTATTTCCTTTCTTGGAAAGGAACAATAGAAGCTGCAGGATCCATTATGTGCTCACGCAAGTTGCAGATCTGTTTCTTACAATAACAACCAGCCTGGCCTCAGTAACAATGGCAAAGTCAATGAACAGCGATGCAGAAAGTCAAACGCAATGCAACTGCATATATTACACGATTGCAATCAGCATCCATGGAAATTGCAAGGTGAGGAATTGATTAGCCTAAGGCTGGATTTATACTGGCGGTTCCGATTCTATTTCCATGTCCAAGTCAAGTGACACCTAACCCTTATTACTGTGTTTACAGTTGAACACATGAAATAACCCACATGTACAAACACCCAAACCAAACCTAATGCCAAGAGTAAGCAATAATGCATTAACAGGGGTGCACATGCCTGTTTTGCTCAGTTTTACGTAATTGCGTCAAAGCAAGTTAAACCTCGTGTTGGTAATTTCACAGACACGATCGCAGTTATACGAGGAGTGCTCTGGCCTGATCTTTGAGGGCCGCTGTCCAGCTTGTTTTAGATGTCTCCCTCCTCCGACAGACCTTATTCAAATGATTAGGATCATTATCAGGCTTCTGCTGATGAGCTGAACGTTTGAATGACGTGTGTTGGAGGAGCAAGACATTTAAAACAGGATGGAGAGGGGCTCTTAAGAAACGGACTTGGGTGCCGCTGCTCTTCACAGTGGTGGAATGGACCCGATGCTGGTAGTTTGGCAGACGAGCGCAGGCCAGCAGATCAGAGAGAGGGCTGCGCCACTGTGGGAGTGGTTATAGCCATCTTCAATCATGGTTGATCAAAGTGGCTCATTTCATTCCTTTCAAATGCAGTGCGCTAATTGTGCACGAGTGTCTCGATATGGTGGGACTTAACTGAGCACTGGGAGCACGCCTCTCAGTCCGAATTATTTGTGTGCCTCCACTCCCACCAGAGCTGAGCTACCCCATGGTTTGGTTTTAGAAATAGGATTCAGATAGTTTTTATAACTGCTATTCAGATATTTATGGATGAAATATTTCACGTTAGACCTGCCCCAGTGTTAGACATGGTCTAATGACAAAGGTTAGGATTGGCTTTCTGCCACCAAATCATCATGATCACACATATCTCCAAGAAACTCCTTCAACACCGCCGACCGACCCGGCATGGCAGAAAACCAGTCTGCCATCAGAATCATGCCTGGAATAAGTAAATTGTGTGATTCACAAGTACGGTATAGGTACCGGTCTAGTGTCAAGTCGATGACTATATACTGCTACAGCTCTATCCCAATTCCGCACAAATAGAAGCGGTTCACTGCACAGCGAAAGTTGTTCTGCAGTCAAGTCAAATTAATGAAACCATCTCCCTAACGGCTTAATTCTTAGTTAATACAACCCACATTTACATCACCACTAAGCCGATAACGCTAATGTCTGCCTGTCAAGCATGCCGTGGCCATGACCAAAGAACCTCCTTTGCCATTTTGGCCTTGGAAGCGCTTCAGAATTGACTTAACAATTACAAATAAATGACTCCTATCACATGTGAAGGATAATGCGCCTGATTGGATCTGCGAAGCCCACGGCAGGTTAACACGCAGATAACGAGACAATATTGCAGCCCCAGCGCGAGCGGCTGCGACCCAAAGTTGAATGTGAAAATGTCACGAGATGGCATTCGCGTTGATGTTTTTCAGAGTTAACAGCAGCTTTGTTTGAGCTGACTGCTTTCAAATGTGGCAGAAGTGCTCATGGCTCTGTACTCAATTAAAGTACAGATACTTCTACAACTATAAAGGCAGAGGTGCCGTGACACTTCAAGCTGTTTACTGCCACTCTCACTTGAATTACAGGTATGTTACATGTTATATTTTGTTGATTGAAACAAGTCACTGATTATTTTGTTTGTGTACATTTTTTGTTATATTATTATTTAAATTTTTTTGTTTACTTTTGTGTTCTACAATCTTTTTGATAATTATTATTTTTAAAATATTTGTTATTTATTCCAGCTGCTCTGACTTCTCTCGCTCTCTCTGTCTCTCTCAGGCCATTAAAAGGAAAAAAAAGGCTCATCAGCACTGTGCTTTGCATCTGATAATCGTCTGTCTTTTGCCATGCAAATAATGGGCTATCTCATTAGAAATAAGGCAATGACAATCAAGGCCAAGGAACGACAAATATAGAGCAATGGGATATTTTAAGATGCTTTTGTATTTATTAGGTCCCTTTGATATTTTAACCTGTCCAATTTGATGAACTATAGGCTAAATGTGTGCCTGTAGGCATAAAGAGAAGGAAGTTTGGGAAATGCGATCTGTTACGACCTTCAGGTTGTCTCCCCATAGAAACTAATGGAAATAATAAATCATTTGTTCAAGGTTCAGTCTGTCCTTCACATAAAACATGTATTAACTATGTTAAGTCACCTTCATTAACTGCCGCCTAATTGTTACAACAACAAAAAAAAAAGGTAATAATAAAACAGCGCAAAGGCGTATTGCAAAGGTCAAGCAAGTGTTTAAAAAAAAAGAAGTTGACTGCTATTGACGTTAAAACTTAAAACCAAAAGGAGCAAATATTACAAAATGACAGTGCAGACCATTTTTCATGCAAGATTTGCACTCAAATTAACAGTTGAGTTAAATTTAGTTAATCCTTTCATGCACCAATAATGATAACCTGTAACCTGATAACATGATAAGCTGACCACTTTAGTAACCACCGTCCCTGAAAGGTTTCACTACATCAACAAAACATTAAGCATAACTTTCATTATGTAACAATATGCGAGTGGGAGTTTTCTGAGATGATGCAGTTTGTCACTGCTCCTTTTTTGGGGTCAGGTGCAGTTTAATAATTAAAAAAATACAAAAGGCCAATAAAAAAGCTAAAAACATGTCCAAACTTTGTCATGCAAGGGCCACATACAGAACCATGCAAGGTCTGCTTTGACATTCTTGGAAATTAATTTATTAAACACACTGAAATCAAGCAAGCAATAATGTATTGTTTACATTTTATATTTATTTTGAAAACAGCTTTCTGTTAAAGGTGGTAAGGCATTTTCAAGATTTTGGGGTGGCATGGCCCTGTATTCCACTAGACTAGGGCCACCCCTGCACTTAGCGGCAACCAAATGCCATCTCCTGATTCAGAACCACAACAACAGCAAACTGTATTCAGCTCACTGTTTTTAAAGCGGTTACTTGAGGATCATGCATGTTCATTAATCAGACCATGCCACAGAGCACAAAGTGGAAGAAACAACTTTTGGTTCTAAAATTGAATTATCTTTATTCACCGCAGTATTTTGAAGAAAAAATATGTTCTAATTTTAGTTGTTACGAGTTGATTTGTATCTTTGCATATCTTAAAAAAGCTCTACAGTAAATAAAGCAACTTATTCATAGAAATAGCACCTATTTTTTTTTTGTGTGTGTCTGTGACAAATGCGCAGGTCAACCATCTGATCTAAACGGAGTCATAAACAGATGGTCAGTAAACAAGAATGTCGTATTATTGAGGGAAATTTTTCAAGGGTATGCTCGTAGGCTGTAAAAAGCGTCTGGGTAAGGGTAATGCGCACAAGGAACAAGGTCTTAACTCTGCATATCAAGGAGGCCAATTAGGCCAAGATGTGGCTAAAATGAGAAGCCCGAACAAATCCGGCCTTCCATTTATACTTACCCGCAACAAGAGTTTACAACACGGCAGAAGCAGTTCATGTTTTCGGATTGAATGACAAGGAGGAGGAGGAGGTGCCAGGTGTCTTCAAAGGGTGAGTAGTTTATCTCATCCACATCCACACCCATACAAACGCATGCCTCTCCCGTTTTAGAGTGAAAAGTAAACATTACAGACCTGAGTCTTCCCCGATGTCCATGGGGGTAGCCGTGGCTGTGGGAGCGTCTGGGTACCGGCCTGTCGTCATCGTGGGACTGATGCAGAGAAGGCGAGCGGGAATGAGATGACCTGGAACTGCCCGTGCTCTGGAGGCTGCTGTCGGGGAAGTCGCCATGACGACTCTGGAAATCACAGCAAAGGAGTGCGTATTCAGTTCAGATCATTTTAGATGTTTAGGTGTGTTGGAGGAGGGAAACATCTAAAACATGCAGGGGATCTCGAGGCCCAAAACCATATTCACCAGGCTACTCTTTTGTGAAGATCATATATTTGGAGTTATTACTAATTAACACCAATTTAAATTTAGCAAGTGTGATTTGGATTCCGTAGAAATCAGACTGTATGTACGTTTTCCAAAGCCAGATCAACTAAGGGGGAGAAAGAGTAGATGACTGTGTCCTCCACGTACAGGTGAACATCGAAATCGTGAAAGGGGAACTGAAGTCACGCAGCCATTTTCTTTTCACTCCTATCAGCCCCCACTATTCTGAATACCGTATTCTGATTAATGCTGTGCTGGTGGACTAAGAACAAAGCACATTAACCAGTTTTCATCCATGTCTGGGGCTGCCATTTTGCATTAAACTGACGTTTGCTGTCGAATGAAAGTAACCTCGTTGGCCTTCAATGCGAATGTCATGGCTCGCCTGTTTTCTGGGTTTGGTCACGAGAGCACTTTGATGTCAGTTTCAAAAACAACGATCAATCTCTGAGTTCACTTCATCCAACATCTTTCTCTTAACAGTATTGGGTCAGCTCATTTTGTGTGGGGAAAAAACAAGCCAGTGTCGGTAGCTCGACACTGTCTTACCTCCCCAAGGCTGCCCCCCTGATGCTGGCCAAAAGCAGGCAGGCTCCGCAGCGACGGCACTGGGGAGTGGCCCTGCTGGCGGCCGCGGGACTCTCGAGGAATCTGCCGCAGGGCGTGGATGCTGTCATTGCCGTTGAGGTTGTTGTCGCTTGCTGAGCGTAGCAGCGAGCGGGGGGACGGTGTGGGGCCAGTCACCCGGCGACGGTTGGTGTAGGAGGGCGTCTCCCGGAAAGGCACTGATGATATCGATGACATAAAACTTGAGATGGTCCATTTTATTCTTTTCAAAGCAATACGAATTGTGTTCCATAATGTCCATATCTAAAATCAATAATATAATGGCAATTAATACGGGACATTACGGGACACTATAGGATGTAATGGGACATGATCCGACACAATGGGGAGCCTATGGGACACTATGGGAACAACAAACATTGTCAGAAACTATGGGACAAAATGTGTCATGATGAGACGTAATAGGTTACTGGTAGGACAAAATGGGACAAAGGGGGACCCCATAGGACATAATGGGGCATGATGTAACACCATTGGGAGCCTAGGTGACAAAACGGGTCAAAATTGAGGACTTTATGGGACACTAAGGGACAAAATGAGTTGTGATAAGACGTTCACAGTCTTAAGGGATATTATGGGGGAGATTGTGGGAATGGATGAGACACAGTAGGGGAAATTATGGGAGACTATTGTACAAAATGGGACATTATGAGACACTGTGGGACAAAATGGCATGCAAGAGAGGATATCACAGGACAAACTTGGCCGTGTATGGCGTTGGGGAGCGTAAGAGACACACTAAGACAAAAGGAGGCATAATGGGATTATTTAGATGTTACAACCTATGGTTTAATGTCCCAAAGTTAATACGGACCATCTCAATGTTGTACCATTAATTGTATTCACACCTTGGTTAAGATAAATCAATGTTCCATTTTGTCACATTGAAAAAAAATGTGATTTTGTTTTAGAGGTTCCACTGCAACTGATACTAATTGAGTGAAATTGAAGCTATTTGAAAGATCTATTGCAGAACGTGCAAGACTGTATGCCTTACATGAAAAAGGATGCACATGCTGGTATTGTTGTGTTGTACAGTGTATACCGTCTGTGCATATGTACACTAGATGGCAGAGTTTTCCTGCATGTAGCAGTTTAGTTCAGCAGGGGGTGGATGGGGGATCTGATAACTCCCCTCCCCTCCCCCGCCAAAAACTTCTCTGCATCTCTTTAATCTCACGTTCTTCATCTTCCCTGCTTTTTACTCCATGTCCCTTTTATATCTCCCCGCCGTGACATCTTTCTATCTGAAGCCTTCACAGCCTTAAAACCTGGAGGAAGGATTGGCAAAATACGAGTCACTCACCAACATCTGATGCTTTGTGGACCTTTATGATTTCAGCCAGATCAAAGTTCCCTGCTATAATAGCCACCTGGAGGATGACGACGGACATTTTATGAAGCATAATGTTGATCTCAACAGAGAAGAACATTCATTGCAGTGCTCAAATTTGATTATTTAGCGGGGTGCACACGTACTGCTAATTGCTCGGTATGACTCTGATCAAAGTCGGCAAAGGCCAGATTGTCGGACGTTTCGAAATGATAATCCTGAGTGATTATCGTGTGATGTGGGCTGTGAATGAGTTTTCCCTAAGGCGCACAGAAAATACCTGACAATCATAAATGTCAACCCCGTTCTCTATGTACGATAAAAAGTCAGGCCACGACTCAGAATGATTGCCAATTATATTTCCCCCAACTTGTAAACAAAGTCAGCAAAGTGCTTGGAAAAAGTTGAAAAATCGTAACCGCTACGATTGTTCAATATTTTCAATAAAAAATGCAAAGTTTGGCTGAGCCTTGGGTTTGGAACAAGCGTTTTCTTTCCCTTGTGATCAAAGTCAGCAAAAGTCTGATAATGAGATTTCTGAACGTTTATGCTGAGCCTGTGATCCTGTGGTGTGTAATAAGACTGATTATTAAAATCTGGCCCAATTGTTAGTATGTGTGTCCTGTGCTTGAAGTTGCTATCCTAAATATTGAAGAAGTTGAACATTAAACATTGCTGGTTGTTTTCTGAGCAGATCAGGGAGGACAAAAACAATCACTTAATATACTGCCCACCACAAGATAATCGTTAAGTCAAACCATTTTGAGATATTTGAGAATTGTGCCTTTGCTGACTTTGACCTAATATTCAAATTTGACCCAATTTCCAGGATGTGCATATCTCACTTCCGGTCACTTTATCCTAAATATTGCACGGGTTTAACATTTATGATCAATAGATGGTTTCTAAACCGGTGGGAAATGGAGGAGGAAAATGCTTAAATTTGGCCCAATTGTCGGGGTGTATGTATCCCGCTTCAGGTTGTTTTATCGTAAATATTGAACAAGTTTAACATTAAAGATTGCCGACCATGTTCTCAGCATATTAGGGGGGCGGAAAAAAAAATTCCCTCTTCACCAACCGCACACCACAGAATAAGTTTCAGGATAGGATCATATCGACCAATGTCAACGCGCTTAAAATGTTAAAAACCGCGAGTATGCATGTACCCCATTTAAGCTGAAGGGTCATACCTGAAAGGCAGTCTGGCTGTTGTAATTCTTGATTTCCTTATTGGCGCCCCGAAAGAGAAGAACCCGAGCACAGCTGTCCTGAATGACAATAAAGACATTTTCGTGTTATGAGCTGCCACAATCGGGTGAACGGGCGCCATTTCCCCCCAACTTTTAATTGGTCTGCCTATTAGACAGGTGTGGTGGAGGTCACATGACTGTCTGTATGTGCAGACTTTTAAATGTCACCTTGTACAAATAGCACTAAAGTCTGGCTGGAGAGGGAGAGAAACATTCGAGAAGAGAAGAGATCAATATACGAGCTGTCGCGGAAACATAAAGTGAGCAGAAAAAGCTGAAAAAGCCTGAGGGGATGTTTGAGCCAACATCATCATCTATGCTGTACTTGGCATTTGACGGAAAAATGACTTTTTATTTGTTTGTGACCACAATATACTTTTTTTTCACAAAGACTCGACAAGCAGCGAACACAACGTGAGGTCCACCAGCACAATCAGATGCTTTGCAAAAATCCTTTTGGTCCTTTAAAGATGGCATACCGTATTACATTTATTTTCAACTTTAAAAACAGTTCCCAAGTGTCTTAACAATGTGAAGTGTGAACAAGACTTACAGTACAGTCATACATATGACATATTGCAAAAAAAATAATAATAAAATACAGTATGCGGTTATTTTGTTGTTTTCTTCGGCCTTTTGTAATAGTGGATCTTTTCTATATTCATTGCAGTGTCAAATTATTCAATATATTCTTTTCGTCATATTTACATAAAGAGCATTTTAGTCACATATCTGGAAAAGAAATGCGTGGTCTTATGTGACCCCCCCCCCGACCCCCCAGCACTGACATGCTCGTTCCAGCATTTAAGTTGCCCATCCTTGGCGTACATCATGCTGAACAGGATGTGTCCTATTATGTCCTCTTTTTAAAGTACAATTACTGAGCCGAGCTGATAGTTAGTGTGAGGAAGCCCAAGCTGTCTTTCTTTTCCAACTCACGGCCATGTACTTAGTGTAACTGTGTACACAGAGCCCTAAGGCAAGGTAAAATCCACTAGTAGATTGATGGACACATCTACAGGCCCACACGTGCGGGGGCTGGCTGTTCAGCTTCGGCGTTGGGGGCTAGGGGCGGTCAATATGTAATTTAACACTGACCATAGAATGAACAGGACATGCTTTGGTCCACAGGCAAGCACAGAGGCTGCAAATTCAGTGAGTCACGTGTTTGGTCACAATGCATTCAGAAATTCAGAAATGACTGAATACATGAAGAAATTATATAAAATCTAAAATGGTTAAATGTTAAATAGGTAGAAAATACGGATAATAACAAATGTAATAAAGTATAAAAAAGAAACACAAATAAGACATAAATCCATGAAATGAGTGCAATACATGCAGAACAAAAGAAACAAAGGAAAAATAATGAACAAAATAAAAACATGAAAATGACAACGTAAATAGAAATAAAATACATAAAAAATGAACCTAAAAACAATAAAATGCTGTATAATAACACAAAATAAAAAAAACATGAATCCACAAATACATATCAATACGCAATAAATAAACATCATGACAACAATAAACAAAAACAACTGCAAAACTTAAAACTAAACAAAATAATGTCTGTCACAAAATAAAATAAAATTAAGCAAATATGCAACATTATTCATTGGGGTTCTTGTAAAATAAATACATTTTGACTAAATAATCTACATGTTTTTATACATCGATCTCCTCCAAGCCATTTACTAAATAAATAAAACAAAAAAAATAATGGGTTCTAATCTAATGGGTGCTAATCCTGAAATTTCCATGATGTCTTTTTCAAAACCAGTTTTAAAAGTCCATTGTAACCTTTAATTAACAAACGCCGATATATGATGACCTCGGTTAAAGATGGAGACATGTAAATATTATTGGACATCAACCAGTTTTACGAGCGTACATAAAAGTTGAAAGAAAAGTGCCTGTAGCAGGCTAAGAGCTACTCTGAAGCTAACTGAGCCATGACCTTGTAAGATTTATCCCAAAACATCCTCCAGCGGGTGTGTGCTTTGTGTGTGTGGGTACATTTCGGTCTTCCACATTGATTATAAAAACAGGGTTCAGCAAAAGGTGAAGTAAAAGTAAGTAAGATAACTTTAAAAAAAGTAGCATATAAGGAGCACTCCACATAATACAAACAATACACATAACCGGTACATTTAACAATGTGGTTGTCGTTTGTGTAACTGCAATGCATCATGTTGAGGTTGCAGCGCAGTAACCACGTTCACATTTGATGTTGAGATTTTGAGCGTCAAGTGGGGAATATTTAGAAGCATAATAAAAACATAAGGTTTAGGTGTGCGCGCATAGTGTGGTATGCTAATTGGACTCCGTGCTGGCGACTAAAAGTAAGCCTTTTTCCCTCTTGTTTACAAAGACAGCACACGGTGGACATTGAGACTCGGAGAAGCCAATTAGTGCGTGCACCATCGGTGTTTCAACAGCAAATCACTCAGAACACCATTCCAAGACATCTTCAGTGTGGCTTTACACTACAGTCGCTTAATTGACCATGTTCAGTCATGTTTATAGAAGAAGACAGATGCTTCCTGTCACCACTGTGTTTGCACATTGGATGATGCAGCAGGCACTTCATTTTGTGATTTTTTTTTTTTTTTTCATGACCAGTTCAAGTTTTTCTGGTAATTTAAAAGAAGAGCGATCATATTCATTCTGTGTGGAACTGATTAGTTGACTTGTTTCTCAGTTGACTTTACGAAGGCTCTGGCAACGCCTCTCTCCCTCCTGGTGACAATTTAAACATCCATCGAATTTACGTGAGCAGACAGTAACACCTTGCGATCGCCGATGACCAAAAAACTCCTCCTGTTGCCACAAATGTAGAAAATCTCTCATCTTTCACGGTTTGGAATCCTCTCGCCTTTGGATGTATTGATCTCAGACAGCGGCTTGGATTGCGCCTGCCCATTTGGCTACGTGATTGTAGACGACCGTGGAGATAAGAGGGTCTGGAGCTTTTCGTGAGGCCCCCCCACCGATCCCCGACTGCTAAAGCCTGCCTGTTTCACAGATCAATCTGCTCATCTCGGTGTTGCATCTCCACAGGGAGAAGAACGGGGATTTCTCTCTAATAGAGGACACACAAAGAGCCCAAACTCCTTTTTACCCAAGTCAAGAAGATGCGGGCCTGAACACAAAGAGAACTACTGTACATTAATACTATCTTTATAGAATGAATAGAAGAACAGAACTCAGCTATTTTTATAAAAATGAACACGGGTCAATTTGACCCGCAACACAACAGAAAGGGGTGGTCGATGTATCCAAACTACATCACCACACAACATTCAGGCACATGTCAGCGAGCGGACATCAATACTTATTGTCAGTTCACTTTGACAGATTTGGAAATACGTATTGCGTTGTGATATCGATGGTTCATTCTTTTGCAATGGAACTGTGTCATGACGGGCATCATGACATCAATATTCAATGAGGTTCTAATGGTATCATATTGTGACAAAAATGCAATATTGAGATTTGAGATTTGATGCTGCATTATCGGTATGGTATCGTGTCAGACTCCAGTATCATACATCATCATACATCAATATTTGATGGTGGTGTATCGATACAATACAGTGACAGACAACGACACAGGACATTGCAATATCCGAATTTCATGCTGGTGTACTCAAGCTGTATCATGACAGATGTATTGTGCTGTATTGTGTGGATATGATCGATCGAAATATCCATATTTGATGCTGTTGCAATGGCAGGATGCATCAGAATATGATGCTATTGTACTGAGGCTGAATTGTAACACAGATACAGGACGTTCGTTACATTGCACAAGCAGTATGGAATGCTTGTGATGGTAATGCTCGCGTAGTCAAGCTTTATCATGTCAGACAATGGTGCGCTGTGTGATTATATACATTTTTGATCCTGGTATAGGGCTACCGTTTCATGATTTATGTATCGATAATAGAGAGTCCCTGCATCTGCGTCAACGACCTGAGTGTGTTTATGTTTTACAGTTCTACCGACATTCAATAAATGTATGAAACATGCAGCATAGACTGTGGTTCTTCTTTCGCACGTGTGAGGGCATTAGAATAAAGAAGGCTACTGTAAAAACCCTTTAAAAAATAAAACAATCATTTACAAAAATAGACGATATAGTGGTGGCACGGACGATGAACTGCAACATAAGTGAGGAATACAATTGATAAAAAGTGGTACCTGGTTGTAGAGTGCACACACATGCAGAGCCGTGTTCCCGGAAGCGTTTTGGGCGCTCATATCCGCTCCGTAAAACAGGAGATGTTCCAGGTGCTGCACGTGGCCATAGCGGCATGACTGCAAGTATAGGAATCAGTGAAAGTCTGCTTTACGAAATGGCTGAACAAGAGAGCCAAATTGATTTAATAAGATGTCAAATAACTTTTTCAACAGATTTCAGCACAATTGGCAACAGTTGTAAAAGTGGTGGACACTATCATAGTTTGCGCTTCAGATAACTGATGGTTTGCACTATTGAAAATTTGAGAGATCACTGCAAGCACAAAATTAAATTTGAGGAGATGTTAATTGGAAGTGTCAGTGGAAGAGGCCAAAAAACATATTACTGTGAAATCTATTGCTTCAAGAATTTCAAGTAAGCCAGCCACCTTATAAAAGACATGTTTTGTTTGATTTATTCCTCTTTGAGTGTGTGGGAATTGAATGGATCTGCCCATTGTGTCTAATATTGTATTTAAAACTTAGGACATCACACCTGAAAAAAAGCTCGGGAGATGCCAGTACCAAAGTCAAAGTGAACTGAAATGACCCAGATGCAAGGAAATACAGAGTTGAAAGTAGTTTTGTCAAAGGTGATATGGCATGACTCCTTCTTGTGACTGGTTCCAAATCAGACCTTACAGAAGCGGTATTTAAAGACACAAAATCATCTACCTCAATTTGTCTCGGACATCGTTTAGCAGATGCAATTTTGGGTGCCCATGGTTCGGAGATCAGCTTCCACATCATGAATAATCAGTTTTGGAAGCGTTTCTGCACATGTAAACCTTCAGTAAAGAAGCCCATACAGTATAGAATTTACGAACAGCACTTGCACGTAAGTCACCTGGTGTATCTCCTGCCAGCCGTTCTCGTCTATGCAGCCGACCTGTGCATGGTCGTGCAGCAGCAGCTCGCAGCAGTAAGGGTCTCCTCCCACCATAGAGCTGTGGTAGAGGGGAGTTAGCCCCCGACTGTCCTTGTAGTCCGGAGATGCGCCCAAGTCTAACAGCGTCTGTGGGATATGGGGGCGGGGAGGGGGGGGGGGTTGTTGTGGAAGCTTCAAGCAAGTGTCATGTTCATGTTAAAGCTTTAAAGGTAATGGGGCTGGACAAGGCTTGTAATAAGAACAATTCTGTCTTGCGACTGACAACTGTATGGTGTATGGCCAAATCTGGACCCCCACATCATTTTATGTGGCCTTCAAAAGCCAATCAAACATGTCAACTTCCATAATACTTCCTAAAATCTGTACCAAAATTTAAAATTCTCGGATGTAATAAATAAAGAGATAGTGTACACCTTTTCCTGTTCCCGAACCCCTCATTACAGTAATTTAAATAGTTGAAAAACAATCATTACACTTGACTTCTTTATATGGTTTCACATGGAGGGAAATGGTAACTACTGGTTTTTGTTAAGCGCTTTGTTACAGCTGCAGCTGTTGTGAAAGCACTATATAAATCAGGATGAAATGTATTGTATTGTATTTTCCCCACTATAAGGCGCACCTAAAAGTATTCCATTTTCTCAAAAGCCGACGGTGCACCTTATAATCCGATGTGCCTTATATGTGGATCAATGTTCTGATTTCAAATGTTCTGTAAAGTGCTTTGTTACAGCTGCAGCGGTTGTGAATACAGTGTAATGTATTGCATTACTTTTAGTATAGCTCTATCTAGTGGCTGAATAATGCAACCGCAACCACTATTGCAGCTTGTCTTCTATGCGCCTCATAATATGAAACCCTATATATGAAACCAGTTTTTAAAAAGGCCATTCGTTGAAGGTGCGCCTTATAATACGAAGCGACTTACAGTGCGGAAAATACGGGACAATGTGGCCCCTGACAGAAATGAGTTTGAGACCCCTGATCTATAAAGTCCATGAATTATATGTACAAAACCTTTTACCCTCTTAGAAGGTACAGCAACAGCATTTTTCCCAACTAATAAAAATATAACAATGATGGAATTCAGGTGTAAGCAGGTTAAGGATATTTTGAAGGGTACCTTTTTCTTTTTCGCTACAGATTGCTATTCATGTTTCTTTCACTAAATTGTTCAGCTCAGACGTCATCCATTAAAACAACACAAAGCTTGTCCATATCCTGTGCACAAAATAACAAAAAGAGAATCAATGGCCTACTGTGGTAGGAAAAAAAAGTTTTGGAAATCAATTAAATGAGTCATGCATGTGATTTGAGTCAGCACAGACGGACGTCGTACAAGAGCCGTCAGTAAATGTCACATCATTCAGAGATGACGCGCTAAGCTTCATATGGAGCAAAATTGCTCAAGCACACTCCAGCGGAGGAAATTGCCCGCTCGCAAACCCCTGTTCTGCCAAATTGGCCCAGTGAGTCTATTGTTGTGGAGAAATGAATGAAAGAGATGAGTCACCCTTTCTGCTGCCATGACAGTGAGAGTTCATGGTGGGTGATACATTCCAGACCTACCCGCTACAGAAAGACCATATACAATACTTTTTTTAAACGGATAGCTTTACCGTTTCCACGCAGTAAAACTGATTCAAACACACTTCAACTGGTTAAAACACCGAAGATTTTAAGATAAGAGCCGTCATTTGGACAGTTTTATACTTTGACTTTAGGCCGGGCACTGTAACCAGCAGTGCTTTGGCAAATAGTGAACAGCTGTTCACAAATGAAACGTCACGCTGCTTAATGCCGCTCCCAGCTGAGGTTTACAGTCAAACTAAAAAAAAAAACTGAATTATATGTAAATAACCAAACAACTGAACTGCTAGCTTAATGTTAACATATAATGCAAACTGCCCTTGACATACTAGGCTTTACCATTGATATTTGCAATTTGGTGGAGCAATACAAGTGGACGGTGTGTGATGTCGGCAAGCTACGCGTGAATGTCTAGAAATGAGCTGCGGCCAACAGCAGCTCTGACATGAGTGTGCTCATTGCGTTTATGTGCTTTACTCTCAACCGTTCAATAAACTGTTTAAAAAAAATGGATGTCTGCCACAGACAGATGAATACACTCCTCAAAAAAAAAAAAATAAATTCTGCGTAAACACTGTGTTGTGTGTGCATGCTTGTGCCACTCACAATGAGTGCGGTGTGGTTCTTGCTGCGCACGGCCTTGTGCAGTGAGGTGATGCCGTCTTTTGTTCTGAAGTCCAGATGAGCGCCGCCGCTCTTCAGCACCTTGATGAGTTCCGCACATCCCTCCAGCTGCACCGCCAGCGTCAGAGGGCATTCTACACCATGAAGGCACAAGGATGCAAATAAGCAAAACAACAACATATACAGTATGTCATTTTATTCCTCAAATGTCAACTAAGAATAAATTGACCTATTTTTTGGCTTACTATAAAATATTCTTTAGGCCTCCATAGAAAAGGCCAGTAGTTCTCAAACTTTTTACGAGTACAGCGATGCCTTAAGATAAAAATGAATTTTATTTTGTGACCATGCTTGTTCTATACATTGAAACACATGTATCTGAAATCAACATATTCCATTGAAATGTATTGAAATTCCATAAATTTGCTCCTGCTTCCAACCCCGCCCCCCAAAAAAATGTTTTTGTTTAATCTGAAAAAGAATACTCTGTAATACTGCACTTTAGAAAAACTTACAGTGATAACATTGCAAAATAGAACGCAAATAATTAGTTTTTGCCACATTTTTTGTTTCATCAACGGCCATTTTTCTGCTCTGACATTGGCCACCAAGGGTTAGTATATTACAGACGTATGGATATAAATGGAGCTGGTGAAATCTCTCCAGTAGGCTGCAGTAATTCTACTCTGTTCATCATAGAATATTAAAAACTACAGGCCTGTGAGTATTGTTATAGTACAGAGCCTGTTGACATATGCTGCTCCACTGCTAATGTTCAAATATCTGTTGCTTGAAGGGTTATAAATCCGATGCCATTTGTTAGCCTGTCGATGACATTTTCCATGATGTGTTAGCATTAAGCTAGCATACTTTAAGACAAAGTCATTTCGTTGTTTTAATGTAAAAAATACGTCATTATTTTTGTTTAATGTTTAGTTTGTCTGTAAACTTCAACTGAGAGTGGCAACCAGCTTGAAGACTCTTTCTAAAGAATTGTTCACGATCTGACGAACTGCATCTTGTTTGTAAATTGAGTTGAGTTTGAGTATTAAAATCTAGTAGCGTAGCAGACCTCAGTTTTCAACAAAAATTAGACGGTTTTAATCCTAAAAGTGTATTAAAAAATGTAAACCAGGGTAAGAGTAAACACAGTTAGAACATAATAAAAACTATATATTAAATGATTCCATTAACATGTATTGCACATAAATGTTAAATCAAATCTGTACCTTCACGTTTAAAAACAAACAGCTCTTGGAAGATTAAATGAAAATGTATTGACAAAAAAATTTAAATACAAAAGAACTGTACTATGGTGGTAATAGAAATGAAGAACCAAAATAATGCAAAACTGCACTTTGAAGCAACCTAACAGCAGCAAGATTAACTACATGCTGTTGGCGTTCACACAAAGTATTCTCCCTTTCCCGCTTGAAGATTTACAGGTCACCAAGCATGCGAATTTCTGTCAGGCATGGACAAACACTTGGAATAAACATGAGGAGATTAGGAAAGAGTTCAAGCCATCTTTATTCAAGGTGTCTTTTGCTAAATGGAATGATTGACATGACCATTTAGATGAGGCCTCAGCTTCACAAAGATGCTCAGACACCAGCAAATATGCACATATATCTCAAAGTATGTTTTGTTAATTCTCTAAGTCTTGACATATTTTTAGGTGATTGGGGTTTTGTTTGGGGTCACCAATGTAGCCCCCAAGGACTACATGAATAGCCCGAGGGCCTGTTCGAAATAAAGTTCAACAGTAATGGGACATTGTGATTTTCTATGAATGATGTTGAAGTGATCGTTTGAAAATGTAGAGAGCGGTAGAGACTTAAAAAAAAATCAATAAAGTACTGCATATTGATACGTGTTCGTTTCCTAATCATTGTGACAAATCATTTAGATGGTGTGTCTTCACCAAATGAAGAGCATTAATTACACTGGACCACATGTGTCCCAAAATGCATTTTTTATGCTGATTTTAAAAATATCTTGCACAACAGGTTTTGAAAATATTTTTAAAATGTATTTATTTATTTATTTTTCAGTTTGACTTAGAAAAGCTTTTGCAATCCGGATTTCACCGTGCATTTTAATCTATGGCTCTTTCAGAAAAAGATTCGACATGTTGTTGAACCAAAACTGTAATTCATAAATATTTCCATAACTTCAGATTTAATATGGAATTTCTTTTCAAAGATATACCAATGAAATGCAGTGGCAGGTGTGTATAAAATGATTCAATATGTTTACATTTGAATGACTTTCATGGTCATAACGGCCCTCTGAAGGAAATGATGTGGCCTGCGATCAAAATGACTTTCACATCCTGGGCCCTGACCTATGGGTGTATTCAAGAAAAGGAGCAAGTGTACATTACTGACTTTTAATTCCAACTTCCTCACCTCCTGTGTCGGGATCGTGAAAATTGGGGTCCAAGCCTTTTTCCAGAAACCGGGAGACCTTTTCGATGCTCCTCTGCTGCACATACTCCATGAACTTCTTCAGGTTGGCCTAATGGAGGGAGACAAGGGAGCGAGGAGGGAAACGGGTTGTGGTGGGGTGGGTGGAGGGGCAGAAGGAAGAGACAGCTGTGATTGGCCCACGGCAGACTTGTGTGGCTGACGCCGTTTAATAATGCAGCGGCGAGATGAAAGCTTAATTCGCTGCGCTACTCTTTGCCAGCGCGTGAAGGCTTTATGTCTCTTCTGTCATCATATCAAACAAATGGAGCGTGCGGCCGTAGATAAGCTTGCGACAAAGACAACGGGAGGCAAAAATGTCAGGCGAGTTAACATGGGAATAAAGTTTTATTTACGCTTCCAATGTTGAAAAACGAGGAGCACGGAATCCTATTTGTTAGCATGCCTCGGGGTTTTACTATGGCTTCCTCTGACATTCGAACAAAAAACATGCATGATAGGTTCATGGAGGATTAAATTGGCCATAGGTGATAAAGTGAGATTTTTGTAAATTTGTGCCTTGTGATTGGTCGGTGACTACACCCCGTCCCTCGCCTGAAAGTCAGCTGGATTAGGCTCCATCTCACCAGGGAACTCTAATGAGGACAAGTGCCACAGAAAGTGGATGAATGTGTGCTTGTATTATGTCCACTAAGTCATTTTTAGTAGGAAAAAGTCTTGTGACACATTGGTAGCATTCCAAGAAAGTTGCAATGTCACAATGTGAGGGGAAAAAATAATTACAGGAAAAGTTGCACTATTATAAGCAATTTATTTTTTCTCTTGAGAAATAAGTCAAAAAATTAAGAAAAAATCATGTTAAAATAAAATTGGAGGGTTTTTTTGTTTTGTTTTGTTTTTTTGTGAATATGCTGCTTTTTGGTGAGTAATCTGTTCCAAAAAGTCTGACTAAAGCCAAACCATACAAAACAAAGCAATATGTCCATCCATAAAAAAATTATGTGAATACACTTAATTTGTTCCACATACCAAAAATATTAACAAAGGAAATACATTCACTGGAAAATATCTGTAGTTGAACATGCAGAAACCAATTTGAAATAAACCAGTGACCAAGGAAATAGCTCAGTTAACATTAGTCATGGTCCTTATTAGCATGATTCTACTGCAACAACAAAGTACGGTAAGTAGGCTCGCTCAGTTGGTAAGATCTCGGCAGTGCAAAAAGTGCAGCACCCGGCTGACAAAATACAAAGTGAACAAAAATACAGACAGAGGAATCACCTTGACAGGTCAGGTCCACATAGCAAATAAACCACAATAGGGCAGATACGTCAATCATGCAATGCCGCATCATGACACTTTCAAAAGCCTTACAGGAAAATGCTCAAGAAAGTTATCCATATGCATCAACGGCTTTTTCTGGTAAATAGATTTTAAAAAATTGGTAGAAAACCAAATCTCATGAAAACTGGTGTATATAAAAACCTATGTTCCACTGTCCATGTTTGTGTGTGCGTGTGTGTGTGTGTGTGTGTGTGTGTGTGTGTGTGTGTGTGTGTGTGTGTGTGTGTGTGTGTGTAAAACCCTGTGACTGATGGGCGACCAGTCCGGTGTGTGTGCAGCCGGTCTCAAATTCAACTGAAACAGACTTCAGCTAACTGACATGAGGACAAGTGTGAGCAAAAAATGGACGTAAAAGGCATTTCAGTCAGCAAGCATGAAGAGTTCACCAACAAATACACGCAAGTCCACTTTGTTTTGACATTCATGATAGATGCAAGCTCACAAAGGAAGCTTTCCAAATGGCGTTAACGCCAAATGAAACAAGAAGTTTTGATTATCAAATCAGGATGAACTGTGACATCCCCTTGAGCAAATACTTATTTTATCATGAACTCAACTTTCACAACCAATGCACTCAAGGCTTGCAGCTCCACGCCCTAACGCTTTCAATGAGTGAGAATCGATAAGGCGCTCACCTTGTGCAGCATCGTCTTTTTCGCGCACTTCCTCTCTTTAATTCCACTTCACACAAGCTGCGTTTGTCTTCACGCAGCCCTGCCTGCCTCTACACGCCGGTACATCCTCCCCGCACCCCCACAACAACATGTGCCCCGGCCCCCCTCGATGACACGTCGCCACAAGCCACCAACGACGGCTACACTCACTATCTCCAGGCGAGTGAGAGAAATACGCTGGAGCCTTTTTTCTTTCTTTCCCCTTCTTCCTCCCCCTCCTGCTATCTTCAGATGTTGGCAGGTGCAGTTGTTATGGCGATGGGATACTAAGACAGCTCGCGAGTGGGTAAAGTGCAATTGTGGCGGTCTTTGTGAACGTAGTGCAGCTGGGTCCACAGGTTTACAACAGTTTTGACATATGACATTTTTGGGGATGTGGACAGCGCGTAGGTGGCCCTGTGGTTGACTGGTTAGTGCGTCGGCCTCACAGTGCAGAGGTGCAGGGTTCGATTCCTGCTCCGGCTTTCTTCTGTGAAGTTTGCATGTTCTCCCTATTCCTGCGTGGGTTTTCTCCAGGTACTCCGGTTTCCTCCCACATTCCAAAAATATGCGTGGCAGGCTAATGGAACACTCTAAATTGTCCCTCGGTGCGAGGGTGAGCGCAGATGGTTGTTTGCCTCTGTGTGCCCTACGATTGGCTGGCAACCGGTTCAGGGTGTCCCCTGCCTCCTGCCCGAAGACTGCTGTGATAGGCTCCAGCACGCCCCGCGAGCCTTAAATTCAGATTAAAAACAGTAGGAAATAAACTGAAAATTGAGAAAATAATAAACTAAAAACAAAATATCAACAAAAACAAATACAAAATAAAAAAAATAAATAAACAAAATAAAAAATTGACTTGGTTTCATCAAAACCAATCATATTAAGAATGGGTTTCATAGCCTATAAATATGCTGGATATAACTTGCTACAATTTAAACTCTACATGAATAATATCTGAAAGGCATTCTTTTCACTTGTCTATTATGTTCAGTGAAAGATGTAAATGTATCGATCACATTTACATGTTCCCCATATTTAAGGGAGTGAGCATCTGTGCCATTATATTTCAGACACTGTTAAGGTGGATGAAGATGATTCGTACTAATTCGTTTTTTCTGAGGAAAACACAATCTCGATTTTAATGAAGGTCTGACAAGAAACACACACATGCATTTGTAAAGGGGACTGGTCTCACTAGTGGGAAATCAATGCCTAACACAGGAAGTTGAAAGCAGTAAGAGCAGAGCGCTGCATCAATCATGCCGTAAGGGGATGGCGGCCTGGGAGTCAATTGAGCTCATAGAACACGAGCAGGAAATGGACGTGTGCCAGAGCACCAGCCATATTAAAAAAAAAATAATAATAATAAATTAAAAAACCTTTTTAAATAAATAAAGGTCGCTGCTTTCATCACTGAACATGCAATAGCATAGATGGCCTTATTGCACTGGAGAACAAATCAATGTTTTATTAGCAGCCTTTGGCCATTTTGCTGTTTACTCACTTCAGTGTGCCTTTGGTGTGGAAATAACTTGCTAATAGTCACATGCGCTGTGTAACTACACAATTGCAGCGGAACCTGTAAATTCGCCTCTCGTGAGGCAACCGCTGTCATGCATGAAAATGAATTTACTGTGAATTTTTTTTTTTTTTTCATCATTTGGAGTAAAGAATGTTACCAAGCGGCCCGGTAGTCCAGTGGTTAGCACGTCGACTTCACAGTGCTGAGGTACCGGGTTCAATTCCAGCTCCGGCCTCCCTGTGTGGAGTTTGCATGTTCTCCCCGGGCCTGCGTGGGTTTTCTCCGGGTGCTCCGGTTTCCTCCCACGTTCCAAAAACATGCATGGCAGGCTGATTGAACACACTAAATTGTCCCTAGGTGTGTGTGTGAGCACGCATGATTGTTCGTCTCTGTGTGCCCTGCGATTGGGTGGCAACCGGTTCAGGGTGTCCCCCGCCTACTGCCCGATGACGGCTGGGATAAGCTCCAGCTCCCCCCGCGACCCGAGTGAGGATTAAGCGGTTCGGAAAATGGATGGATGGAATGTTACCAAATGAGATTATTGAGCAGCTTATTATTTCTCCAAGTTCAATAAAATGTAAAAAAAAAACCGTTCTATCACATCAACGTAATTTTTATAATTGTAGGTGACGTAATCGCCAATTAAATTGCATAAGGCGCGCCTCCCCTATAGGAGGCTGCCATGTTTGGCCACCATCTTTCTGCTACTGATACTCAAAGGAGACAAATGTAGTGAACGTTGTTCCTCAACATCAACACGACAGAATGGGTAACAAATACAATGCCCTCCGTAAACTTGGAATAAAGTCATTTGCGATGACATTTTCTTGCACCTCTGCTGAAGAAATGGGTGGTAGCCTTGCGAAATATAATCTCTCTGAGGCACGGGAGTTCACATGTTTCAAAATGCAACACTTCAGAGCTGCTTCATCTGTGGCTTTGACATGATCGTGTCTCTGCTATCACTTGAGAATTGTGAATCTTCACCCAGCCTAGGTCCAGGTTGTGAGCAGATATATTCTTATTTTGTCACTTCAGGAAGGTTTGCTCACAGACACTTTTTGGAAAATTGGCAGTTCATTTCCTTGACTGAGTTGGCAGGGACCCATCTATTTGTATACACACTATTAAAGTCCATTTTACATAACATTCACCCTTTAAAATGTAGACTCCCACTTCCCCAAACTACTCTTCACTTTTTGAGCAGGGCTGGCTTTGATAGTTTATTTTGGTCGCTGCGGAACAATGTTGCACAGATGGCTGCGAATGGGCCCACATATCTCGCGAAAAATATCTTCTGAAGACAAACAGCAAACCATGAAGTCTGCACTCTTCCACATTTTTTTGGAAATGGGGGATGTTTCCTGAACACAATTCAGCAATATTAATACATATAGTGATTTCATCAATTCCTTTTCTTAACCGCTTTGTCCTCAAGGGCATCACGGGCGTGCTGGAGCCTATTCCAGCTGTCTTTGCGCAGTAGGCGCGGTACACCCTGAACTGGTTGCGAGCCAATCGCTGACATACATTGATTTGAAAAATGTAAACGCTGGATTTCAACTG